TAACACATTAGTACTTTGTATTGAACATTTTGGAGAATTTATATTACTCTGTTACTACCTGAGTATTTTTATGTGAGCATTTTTTAGGTTAATGTTATTTTAGTTACTAAAATTTCACACACAAGTATCTATAATTTCTTTGATTTTATATTGCCTATATTTCTGGTATAACGCAAAAGATACCTCGTAAATTTCTGCATAGTTTGGGACATCCAGATGAATAGAGAGAGGTATTTGGAAAAACATAGTAAATATATGCACTTAAAATCCTCTCAAATCTTAACACTTTTTTTGTTTTTATCATAAAACATTACATTTTAATACTATTTCCACATAAACGAACTTAGCATGATTTTTTTTTTTTTTTTTTTTTTTTTTACTGCCAGAGGGTGTGTGCTTTAACAGAGAGACACAGAAAGAGAGGGAGAGAAAAATGAGAAAGCAACCCCCTTTGGGGGTGGTCATGCAGCGATCCCTTTTCCTCTGTGCCCTCCTCCTTTTGGGATTTGGGGCATGGATGCACATGCACCCCTCAGGACATCAGCGCGAACTATGCAGCTGGTCATCTGGGATTCAGCAGCCTTCACCACCAGCTGCCCCCTTCAACTTCTTTTTATGAGAAAGAGAAAGAAAAAAAAATAATTTCTGCATTTCTGATAGGTTGTTTCTATATATGGCAATTACCTCTGTAAATCATTGACACAATTACCTGTCAGAAAACAATAAAGGTTTTATTTAACATATCATATTAATGACAAATCTTTATGGAGAGATTTGTTTTTCTCCTTAAAAAAGTATATAATATGATCTAGAATGGTCCATTCCCCTATTATACAAATTTATAAATAGTTTTTTAATTAGCCTATAACAGTAAGTTATGCTTATACACTCATGACTTAATTGAGCATGTTTAAAAAAAAAAACCTGACATATTATTATCTATAATCACTGCATTTCTTTTATTTATTTTTTTTTTACAGAGAGATTTTTGCTAAAGGGCATGTGTGCTCGCCAGAGAGACAGAAAGACAGAAAGTGAGAAATCATCTCCCAGGGAGGGGAGGAAAGGGGATGGCCATGCCACAATCTCTTCTCCTCCGTTCTCCTCTTGGGATTTTGGACACGCACACACATGCGCCTGGCATATAAGCTTTAAGCTGCCGTGTCCAGGACTTAAACCATGGTCGAATACATGGGAGTCCACCAATGTAGTCCATTACACCATCTGTTAGTGTCAATTGCATTTCTTTTTAAATGCTTGTTTAAACAAGTAACAAACAAACAAAAAACTATACAGCAATCAATAACTTAGGGCATGATCCAGAAATTCAAGATAAGCTTGTTGGTAAAGACTTATTAATTAAGTAATTGCATCAAAAGGACATGACTGACAGTACATCTGGATTTACTGCTTGTACAAGTTGCGTGAGACAAACACCCTCAGTTAATAAGAACGACTTCTGCATAAGGAAGATTTGCTTTAGTCAATCTTATGTAAAGCATATTCTTTATCATGGTACATAAAGGCAATTAAAATACTTAAATGTTTTTGGTGACAGTATTCATTTTAAAAAATGCATGAGAAAGAACAAAATGCAATAAGCGCACTTAAAGAGCACACTGAGCGTATAAGCAGGAAGACATGAATCAGTGGGTCTCAGCCCCCCATGCACCTTGTGCAGTATCTACTGCTGGGCTCAGATTGTGGAGGTATCCTATAGTTGAAATACACAATACAGTATATATTGTTTACTCACCATGGCCCCAAATGCAACCTATTTTTTTTTTAAGTTTCTTTCTTTTGTTAGTTCATTCAGAAGAGAGAGAAAGACAGGTACTTTTGATAGTGTCCCGCCATGCTGTAGTCCCCACCTTCCAGTCTTCTAGACAGCCAGGATCGTGAGCACACCCACAGGTGCACCTGGCATGTTCAGACTGACCTGGGCCCAAACCTAGAGCCTTCAAGTATGACTCTGGTATTACATGGCAGTGCCCTATTATTTGTGCCACTGCGGCTGGGCTAAGCCAACTAGTCTATATGACAGTCAACCAAAAACAAACCTACTACCCAAAACTTCAGTGTACTTCATGAGAAACTAAAGTCTTTTCAAAACTCTAGTCTGTTCTTTTAAGAACCTAATCTCAAGTAAAGTTCAGCTCCTCTCAAATGCCTAAAACTTTCTGGCTTACATAGGCCATAGTGAAGTTCCTGCAATTATATTCCAGTTCCCTAGGAACTTTTGAATGCCTTCTCCCTTTTTCTTAGTACTTGTCCGAGTAGGCTTCTAATCCTGATACTCAGATATGCTTAAGTGATCCTAACTACTGAGCCTTGCTATGACAGTACAGAATAGTGAAAGGCAATAAAGCAGGATGGTCAGTTAGACTCAGACAGGTCTCTGCTGCAGAGCCCCTTCAGTGGCTGTTCTCTTTAGACGTCACTTAGCTCTGTGAATCTGAGACACCTTACCTATAAAATGGAGAAGATGCTACCTACCTCATAATGCTATTGTGAAGATTAAGTAAGATGCGTTAAGTATTGAGTAGTATGTTTCGTATACAGTTGTAATTACTAACAATAATTTTAATAATATCTAATTAAAAACAGTACTCAATTAGTTTCTGAACTCAATCTCTCTCGTAGCTTTTTCTTACTGCCCCCATCAAATGCTCTTATTCTTCATATTTTATAAAATGTTTTAAAATTTATGTAGGTGAACAATTTATTATGAAGGCAGAATTTCTAAAAACCCTGAGCTGCTTTTCTTCTTTTTTTAGACTCACAAAGTTAACTTAGCATTTCCAGATCAGTTTTGGGGCCAGATGATAATATTCCCACCTGAAAAGTATTCTGTATTCCTCCTACCTCCTGAACTACTCTTCCTTCTAAAATCTATTTTATATAGTAGATAACTCTTATTATCATTTAAGATAAAAGAAGTATAAAGTTAATAACTCATGATCATGAAAAAACTTGTAGTGATTTTAAAATGCCAATATTGTATCTAACAGGTAAATGCTGCTTCCAGAATTATGTTTTAGTCGAGTTTTATATGTATGAATGAATAAAAGCCTATGTCCCAGCATTAGTTTCTAATACTATCTCTAAGATATAAAGAATATTCTATATAGATTTCTACCTTTTGAGAGCTCAAGTCCTTAAACCCTTTAAGCGAATTTACACTAGTCATAAGAAGAATGTACTTAGTTAAAATAATTCTCAAATTTCATCTTAGAACAAATTTTCTTATCTTGCCTTTTGCTAAAATTATTAAAAAGAAAAATTAGTATTTTAAAAATTTCCTTTTGCAGTCAGCAGGTGGCATGGTGGTTGGGGAGCTGGACTCCCACATAACCAATTGTGGTTCAAGTCCCAGAACTGGGACTTACTTCCTCAATTTTCCTTGTCTTTCTGTCTCCCTCTGGTGAATGAGCACACATGCCCTGTAACAAATTAAAAATAACAACAACAAATAAAATGAAATAAATAATTCTTTAAAAAATAACATTTTCCTACCTGTCTTTTGGCAAAGATGTACTAGGAAAACAGCCCCAGACAGTGGCAAACAGGTAATATTTTATAACTGTATAGCAATTAATACATAAATATTTTTTAAGAGAGGTTTTTGCCATAGGGCACGTGCACTCACCAGAGAGACAGACAGAAAGTGAGAAATCACTCCTACAATTAATATATTTTAAAACACTGAAAGCGATTGCACTTAGCTGTCACACCTGTAACTCAAACATGGTGATTTCTATTACTAGTCAGTTATGTGGAAGTCTAGCACCTTACCCACCATGCCACATACTGGTCCCTTTATTCCCATCTTGATATGAAATTCAAGGTTACTAAAATAACCACACATAAGAGCCAAGATCTTACATTTTTCAACTTTTGATTTAAACCCTTTCCACTTCACATGCTTTTCACCTAGATATTTTATAATATTGTATAACTGGAATCTGAATAACAGTTATTGTCAAACGGAAAGAAGAGAATATTAAAATGGGGTAGAGTGGCTGAAACAGGAAAAGTATAAGTTATATTTTATATTTAAGATGGAGTTTCAGTGCACAAATACTTAAGCTTTACAGATTTAATCAAAAAGAATGTTTGAGAGGTTATGAAGAAAGAGAGACAGGCACTTTATTTGCAAATTATCTGTGGGTGTGTGTACAACACTCTTTTCTTAAACTTCTGTTTGAGTCACCAGTGGCAAATTGTAACTTCTTTTAGAGAGGAAGAATCCTCCTTGCAGTTATGCCCTCGGGAAATGGTTTCACAATCCTTACCGTACTTTATAAATAAATAGGATTACAGGAAAAAAAAAAAAAGAGTTCCTTTAGATAGAAATGACGATTTCTAAGACAGAACGACTCAAGACTTCAGAATCAAGCAGAAATTTCAGCTTCATGGCTAAGCACACGTTTTTATTCACTCTGAGAACCTGTAAAAGGCTTCTTATTTTAGCGAGGGGAAGAAGAGATTAATGATACCCTTTCAAATAAAAGGTGGTAAGCAACAGGACGGGTGGCTATGGAATGACGGTCCTGCATGGTGGGCCTGGCACGGCCCTGACCTTTCCATAGATGGAGTTTATTAGAGAGTACACAAAGCGCCCTGATCAGGATAAATGCAATCGGTGACTTCCAGAGATCTTCATCAGAGTTCATAAAACAGCTATTTTCCCTTAAAACTTCCGCCTCTAAAACAAATTAATAACGTGCTACTGTAACTCAAACAATTAACTAAGGCAGAAAAAAACATGTTTTCTCTAACACGACCTCCCCAAACCCACACATGGGCTTATGTATGCGCATTATTCTTCACTGCACACAGCAAAGTCATTTTCCTTCCAGCTCTAATTACCCATAGGTTTACAATGTTTGGTGCCAGAATTTAAGCTAAGGTATAATAAGTTCTAACTGAATGAACTATAATAGCAAAATCAGTTCGCTTTTCACTCATTTTCTGTATAAGATGATCTTATGCGTTACCTGGACTTCAGAATTAGAATCAACAGGTTGCAGTGAAAACCAAGTTTCTCTGCCATTGTGGTTACACAAGTCTTCTTTTTTGATGGCTACTTTTCCTAAAAAATGAATAAATAAAACAGTATGAGCAAACATATTATGTATAATCCTAACACTCATTAACATGCTGTGCATTGATGGTCATCGGGAAAGTCATGACACAGTTTTGCAATAGAAAAACAGAAAAATATGTCATGGCTTTCCCAACGACATAATATAGAAAACATTTTAAAGTAATTTATACCTATTGATATAAAAATCCATTTTTATAAAGCATTTTCTAGGGGCCAGCAGGTAGCGTAGTGGTTAAGGTGCTGGACTCCCACATGGCTGATCATGGTTTGAGTCCCGGACCTGGCAGCTTGCTTTCTCACTTTCTCTCTCTGTCTCTGGTCAAATTAAAAATAATAATAATAATAAATAAAATTAAGTAAATGATTCTTTTTTTAAAAAAAGCATTTTCTATATCCTAAATAATAAAAAATTGCCTCATTTTCCTTTGCTCCTTGGCAGACTCTTCTCTGGGTTATTCTAAATCAGATTAGGCAAAAACTCAATTGTATTTATATACAACTTAATTTTTTTTTGAGAGGTTTTTGCCATAGGGTGCATGTACTCACCAAAAAGAGAGAAAGACAGAGAGAAGTAACATGAGAAATCACATACACACCCCCTGGTGGGGGGGTGGCCACACCCCAATCCCTTCCCCTTGGCCCGGTGTGAGTTTAAGCCACTGGGTCTGGGACTCGAACTACAGTCGACTACATGAGAGTCCAGCAACATAGCCATTACGCTATCAGCGGGTCCCACAACTTCATTTTTTAGAGCTTATTCAGATTCACACTTTTACCCAAAGAGTATCAGTACAAAAAGCAAGGCACAATGCTAGTGCAAACTCCTCTTCCCAATTCTTTAACATATGAATAAATCATTTGTTTTGGTGAATTCTGAGGTTTATCTGCAATTAGCATTGCTTGTTAAGTTCCAATTAAGTGAAAAAAGTATACATCGTCAACAAAGAGGAGAACTGAACAGAAAATTATGGGAGATTAGACAGTCAACAAAGAGAACTGAACAGAAAATTATGGGAGATTAGAACAAAAATTTCATTACTAAAAATTCACTTTTTATCAAAACATTTCAAACACAGATTACATTGCTTCAACATACAAAAATTAAAGTTCTTTAAAGAGTTTCCACCTCTCAGAAAAAGATACAGTACGACGAACAAAGAAGTATGAGAGGAAGAGACAGAAAAGTTCTCACTATAATGAAGTATTTGCCATGTCGGTACAAAACATTTCCTTCCTCAAATCAAGTTTTAAGAAGTAGACCTAGCAGTGTATATTACGGATACTTTACTCAAACACTCTACATAAAAACTTCAACAAAGAATACATACTTCAAGTCAAAAGTAATTCGTTCTTTAGTTTTATTGAATAAAAATTTTCATTTTAGGTGCCCTAATTATACATCCTATAGCCCAAGTTCTTACCTTATGGGAACCACTCCCCTCCTTTTAAGAATCTTTGTAATTAGGGACCAGCAGTTAACATAATGGCTATGTCACTGGACTCGCATGTAGTCAACCACGGTTCGAGTCCTGTACCTGGTGGCTTAAACTCACGCCAGGCGCGTGTGCCCAAGATCCCGAGAGGAGAATGGAGAAGGGATTGCTGCGTGGCTATTGCCCCGGGGGGTGATTTCTCACTTTCTGTCTGTCTCTCTCTGTCTTTCTGGCAAACGCACGTGCCCTATAGCAAAAACCTGTCACAACAACAACAAAAAAGTCTTTGTAATTGCATTTCTTTTATGTCTCTTCCCTTCAAAAACAGGTTCAGCTAATATCTACATTCAATTTTTTCTTTTTAGAAGAGAGGTTTTTGCTACAGCAAGTGTGCACTCATGAGACAGAGAGAGAGAGCGGTAAATTACCCCCACGGGGGAGATGGCCACTCTGTAATCCCTTCTCCTCCATACTCCTCTCAGGATTTTGGCCATGCATGTACATGCACCTGGCATGAGTTTCGAGCTGCCAAGTCTGGGACTTGAACTGCAGAAGGCCATGTGGGAGTAGCACCCCAACCCCATGCCACCTGCTGGTCCCGACATTCAATTTTAAGAGTTTACTTAGTATGCAGAAACTCACTGGTAAGCTGTATTATAAAATTTCTACAACTTTTACTAATAGTTTTATACATAAGTTATAAATAGATATGTAGACATACATATGTGTGTATGTATGATATATACAAACATCGCTAAAGCCAAGTCCTCAATTTTAAAAGAAGGCTTTTAAAAGGTTTATTTGGGAGCCAGCAGATGGCATGGAGGTTAAGGCAGCTGGATCCCACATGGCCAACTGTGAGGGTTTGAGTCCTGGACCTGGCAGCTTGAAAAAACATGCCAGGCGTGTGTGTGGAGGCCCAAAATCTTGAGAAGGGACTGCAGTGTGGCCATCTCCCCTGAAGAGGATTTCTCACTTTTTCCTCTCTCTGTTTCTGTCTATCTCCAGTCAGTGCACGTGCTTATAACAAAAATTTTAAAATATGATGTAAGGACAATGATAATTTTTTTGGAGAGGTTTTTTTGCTATAGGGCGTGTGCGCTCGCCAGACAGACAGAGAGAGGCAGAGAGACAGAAAGCGAGAAATCATCCCCCAGGGGGTATGGCCATGCTGCAATCCCTTCTCCTCCATTCTCCTCTGGGATCTTGGGCACGCACGCACACGCGCCCAGCGTGAGTTTAAGCCACCGGGTCCGGGACTCGAACCGCGGTCGACTACGTGGGAGTCCAGCAACATAGCCATTACGCTAACTGCTGGTCCCAGGACAATGATAATTTTAAAAAGAGGTTTATTTGGAAGTTTACTGGTTTGACTGATTCAGTCCCTCATTCAACAAATAATCACAATAGCACTATGTTGTAATTTGAGATCTGATTTCCAGAGTTCCCCAATCAAGGTCTATTTCGCCAGCAATGCTTCTAAAACTTCAGAGTAGAAATCAACCTGTCCTATTTGTGGCTCACAACTCGGATCACTGGAAACCTGTCTTAACCACAGGTGCCATCTCAAAAGAGAATCCTCTTCTAACTTCATAGTTCAAAAAAATCCCAGAAGCAAATATTCTTGTCTTCCTACTCCATATTTCAAGTTGCATGACACTCACGGTCACTAAAGGACTGAACAGTTTTTGTCTTATGCAAGGAAAACCCTTCTCTGACTATCTGCATAAATAACCCATCAGTAAACTGAGAAAAGCTGCAACTTTACTGCAGCTCTTACTCTTTAGTTCCATTTTAAGATATCAGATGGCCTGAAGAAACAGGGAAGAAAGAGCACAAGATCCCGCGAAGCCAGAGAAATTGGTATAGAAAAATGGTGGAGAAAACCTTCAACTACGTACTTGAGGTCATTAGGGAGAATACACACAGCATGTGCAGCACTTACTAGGCAACATAATATAGAAAAACATATGTCCTCAGCCACAGGGAATAAAATTGGGCAACAGAAATGAGAACGAGAAAAAGAATAAGAGGGGAAAGGGGGTGGGATGGTGAATGGGAAGTAAATATGGGCAAGGGAGAAGGGAGAGACAAGTTTCCGAAACAAAAATAAAACCAACAGAGGCTGGTAGCTGGTATAGTGACAGAGGTGCTAGATTCCCACATGGCTGACCGTGGTTCGAGTCACAGACCTGGTGGCTTTGTCTCTCCTTTTCTCTCTGTCTCTCTCTAGTCAAAATGGAAGAATAATGATAATAAATAAAATCGAAAGTAAACAAATCTTTAAAAAAAAAAATCTGTCATGATTCCCACTTGTTGTATTGAGCTATTAATACCATTAGTTTAACCTGGCAGACATTAACTCTAAGAGTTAAGCAGTCTGAGTTAAAAAAAAAAAAAAAAAGGACATGAAATGAAAGGAGAGTCCGCGTCCGTGTTCACTGAACATCTACCAGAAGGTAGAAATTCTTACAAATCTTATTTAATCTTCGTAATAATTTTGGATGCAGAAGGCATAATCACCCTCTCACAGATGAGGAAAGCTGAACACTGTTTAAAAATCTGCCTACTGGTGCCAGCAGGTGACATGGTGGTTAAGGTATTGGACTCCCACATGGCCAACCGCAGTTGGAGTCCTGGAGCTAGTGGCCTGTTTTCTCCCTCACGCTCTGTCTGTCTCTGCCTCTCTCTCTCTCTCTCTCTCTCTCTCTCTCTCTCTCTCTCTGGTGAGTGCACGTGCTCTGTAGCAAATTTTAAAAATTATGGTAACAAATACAATTAAATAAATAAGTCTTCTAAAATCTGCCTACTGACAAGTGCTGAAGCTATATTTCTGAATCCAAGGAGTGTTTGCTCACGTTCCTTGCAACACAGACAATAAAATTCCAGAGCCTAGTGTCAATTTTATTATTAGCTGTGTGATCTTGGGTGAGTTTGAACTCTACATCTGACTTGCCTCCTCTGCATTAGAAATTATCTTAGCTCTAATGATCTTCAAAACCTATCCTGTGCCTCTAATGTTCTCAAAGACTGTTTCAGTTTACTCATTATTATTTTAAACAAACTTAACTCATTATTTCCCTAGCCATGAAATAAAAATAAACTCAAAAACTTCTCCAGGAACCAACTTCCCAACAAATAAGAAGTGTATTTAATTTTCCCACTATCCTGACAAACTCCTAAACAGAAAAATCTTAAAACCTATCATACACCAAATGATGCATTAGAGTTCCTTAAAATCAGACAAGGATAGGAAACAAAAAAAATGAAGGAGCTGTGGGCATAGAAACCACCTTTGTTGTTCTCTAAGAAAAGTATTCTTAACTTTCCAATACTACTCTGAAGAAGCATTTTCTTACCATCAGTAAATACTGTGCTATCTTTGAGTCCCATTTTTAGATAATAGTATATTCTTGGAAATTTCATTTTCATTCAGTTCACAAAATTCTGACAATCCTGTTTTCACTTGGGCACTTGCAGAAATGGCCAAGAGTACATAAAAGTGGTAACGGGAGTAACTGCCAATGCAGGATGAAACAGGATCAGAGGACTGAATGAATTCTGATAGTCAACAACAATTCAGAGCCAGTGGCAGCTCTTAGAAGTCTTAGTGTATGGGGTTTAGCTGGATGCAGTTTGGTATCTGTGGTAGAGAAGAATATTACTAATGGCCTCCAATAATCCAAGCTTCCTGGTATCTAAGCTCTTGTGTGGTCACCTCAAGCACTGATTCTGGGATTGGCTATGTGGATTGCTTTTGCTAATGGGACATCAACAGCTATGATGCAAGTAGATGTTTAATGAGCCCGTGGACAGTGGCTGGCCCCATAGCCGAGGAGGTTAAGCTCTATGTATGGGGAGCCAGATTTCACAAGGCTGAGTACAGTTCAACTCTTTGGGGAAAAATAAGAAACCACTGGGCATGTGCATGCACATGCCCCAAATCCTGACAGGATAGAGAAATGGAGGAAAAGAACTGTGGCATAACCATGTGAACCCTATCATTCCCTGGTGAACACATACACATGACCTCTAGCAATGAAAAAAGAAAAAGCACCTGTGTAGTAGGGCTTAACCTCTTGGAACCCTGAGACCATAGATATGAATCACACTGGGCACGTGTGCGTGTGTGCCCAAGATCCCAAGAGGAGAACGGAGGAGAAGGAATTGCAGCGTGGCCATCACTCCTGGGGGATGATTTCTCGCTTTCTGTCTCTCTCTGTCTTTCTGGCAACTACACCCTATAGCAAAAACCTCGTTTAAAAAAAAAAAAAGGAAATATCTTTTCCTTGTCTTTCAGCAAGCTGAATTGTAATTACAAGAGTCAATGTGGCACAGAGGCAGATAGGGACAAAACTAAGTAAAAGTCTTTTGTTGGAGAAAAGGAGTATTTGGTATGTATAGAGTTCACCGACATGAATATATTTAACAAATAAGAATGCTTAAGAAAAAAGAACTCCAATAACAAAAACAATAATAAGTAAAAAAATAACAATTCACAGAAAAAAATTTTAAAAACCAACAAAAAAAATTCCTCTAACTTCCTGAAAATCAACAAAACATAAGTTATTCTAATAAAACGTTAGTTTTCATCTACCAGATTGGCAATTTTCCAATGCTGATGACCAATCCAAGGGTGTGGTAAAAGTTACACCCACGCCGCGCTCGGGGAGAGGTAAACTTGCACAGTATTTCAGAGGTGGGGAGAGGTCGCTATAAAGCTGTGGAACTCTTTGAAATGTTTACACCCTTTGACCCAGAATTTTCTCTTTTGGAAATTTAAGGAAAAAGAGACATACAAAAATTGATACAGAAGGATGTTTGTTCACAGCAACACCATTTAGAAAAAATTTGGAGACATAAATGTTCACCAACAAGGGAATGATTTTCAAAACACATCTTTATACAAAGAATATTTTATAGCAAATATTTTTGAAAAATACTGGTGACACTGGGAAAGAATCATTGGATGATATTAAGTGAAAAAGGAAAAAAGACTAAATGCATAGAATACAGAATGAAAAGAGGGACCAGGAGCAGATGGCTTAATGGTTATGTCGCTGGACTCACAGGAAGTCAACAGCAGTTTGAGTCCTGGATCTGGTGGCTTAAAACTCATGCCAAGCACATGTGCATGCATGCCCACAATTCTTCAGAGAATGGAGAAGGGATTGCAGCATGGCCACCCCCCCACTGGGGGGTGATTTCTCGCTTTCTGTCTCTCTGGAGAGTGCATGCACCTACAGCAAAAAGCTCTTCCCCCACCCCTCCACCAAAAAAAAGAAAAAAATACAATGGAAAGAAATATATCAAACCAGTCACGGTAATTATTCATAAGCAGAATTAATACCAGTTACTAGGAACATGTAATACCTTTATAATTAAGAAAAATACATTATTTTAAAAGGTTACTTGATTTGCTTTAAAATGGTTTTGGCAAACTTCAAAAAAGGTTTGTCAGAAAAATGTAGAAGCCACATTACAGAGATTTAAAAAGAGTAAGTTGCAAGCAGAAGATGGATACACACCATCTGTTAAGAGTTTGTAGCAAAAGCAGAGAAACAGGAGAAGTGTTAAGAGGACAGTCACACAGAGCTTACTCTTTTTGAGGGGATTTTAGATTTAAGCATGTTTCCAATCAGAAGGAACAACTGGAGATGACAAAACTTAGGACATTCAGAGATGATTTACACTACGCATGTAAATTAGACCTCTACTACTGTTATTAATATTGGAATACAGAGACAGTGGTGCAGAGACCATGAACATGACACATATGTGGCCGGTTAGCTTTGCTCTAGTCCATGCCCACAGATCACACCCCGGTCTCAGACAATACATTTATCAGTCAACAATACAGCCAGTGAGAAAATGTACAACTAGATTAAAATGAGGCATTACTTCTACCAGAAAAACCTCAAAAACAGATGTTCTTTGGAGGGAATGGATACTGCAATCTTTGCACATATACAAGCATTACTAGAACCATTCAACCAATCTTGCCATAGGGCGGGCGCCACCACGCCCCCATTCAACCAATCTTTACCAAACATTTACTAACTGTAAGGTTCTTTGTGAGACAGTGTTTGCCCTCATAAATGTCATATTTAACAAGAGGAACCAGATATTAAACAATGAACTAATGAGCAAGTATAATGAGTATTACAGAAACGAACCATCAGATAATTCGGAAACAAATGACACAGTAACAAGGAGATCAACAAAGACCTAAGGAAGTGTCATCAAAGCTGGACACAAATTAAAAACCAAACTCAAAGGCCAGCAGTTGGCGTGGAGGTTAAGGCAGTTGGATCCCACACGGGCAATTCCACAGTTCAAGTCCCGGACCTGGTGGCTTGAAAATTTCACTGGGCGCATGTGCATACATGCCCAAAATCTCAAGAGGAGAATGGGGAAGGGACTGCAGTGCCGTCACCCGCAGGGGGTTATTTCTCACTCCCCTCCCCTTTTTCTCTCTGTCTCTCTCTGGCGAGTACATACACTTTACGGTAAAAACTAAAACAAAAACAGTCACGAATAAACATGACATCTAGAAAAAACATTAGCAAGGTTGAACATATATTATTCTGTACTGTTAACACTTTATTTTTAGAAAAAGAAGGAACAGACACCAATGCTGTGATAAAATATAATTATGAATAGTACATACCTATACGAAGGTCTCTTTGTAAAACATTCTTATCATAAACATAGAAAGACAAATACTGGAACGTTCTTGGAATCTCAAAGTAAAATTCTTCACTGAAAAATGGGCTAGAGAGAAAAAGGAGGAAAGCTCATTACTTTGAATAATATCAAGTAATTGAATAATGATTGATATCACAATTGGTAAAAATATTATTGACATTCAAATAATATCCCTTCCAAATATTACTTTCAATAAAAATCAGTAAAATTATAGAGTAAAATGCCATAGGAAAGAAGTCTAAAAGCTCCAAAATAATTCTCAAGCCACTGGGCCAGGAACTTGAACCAAAGTTGACCATGTGGGAGTACAGCAACATAACCCCTCGCTACACCACCTGCTGGCCCCTCCAAAATAATCCTCAATGTAAAGCTTCAACTAAAACCTACACAAACAAGCTGAACTCTGAAAGTTATCAGAATGAGTCCTGAACAAACAGCTTTTCAGTTCTGTGGACACAAGGTATAATAACAGGGAGGCCACGCTCACCCAAAGTGGACCTAAATGAGAGCTGAGAACAGTGTCCTTCACACGATCATCACTTTGGAAATATGGAAAGCTGTATTAATCACAATACAGGTTGAGCATTCCTGAGACCAGAAATTCAAAATGCTCCAAAATCTGACTTTGTAGTGCTGACATGACACGTGGAAAATCTGACACCTGACCTCATGTGATGGTTGCAGTGCAAGAGCAGGACGTGATGTTCCCAAGATAAAAAAAGATCCTCCTCAACCTCCTTCACCTGTAACATACCTTTTCCACACAGACCCAGATCTCCCCAAGCAAGCACATCCACACAGTGTCATAAAATGTCAGTGGGACGCACAGGTTCCCCATGATGCCACATGTAGAGCTAGCAATGACATGCAATGCGCCTGGGGTTTGGTGGTTTTTTTTTTTTTTTTTTTTAACTGATTCTCTGCTCCATGACATAAATATGTTGAAAATGTCAAAAAGACCTGAAAATATCCCTCTGGGAAACATTGACATGAAAAGAGGGAGCATTTATGCTTCTCTACAGCACAGAAAGTCAAGCTGTCAAACAAAGACAGTGGACAACAGTGTCAATGGGAAGCATCGGAGGGAAGAGTACTGCATTAGAACGGCCACCACAGGTGACCACAAGAAGCCAGAGATGAACTATTGAAGTCCTATGCTGAAAGTGATGAAAAGTTCATGAGAAATAGAAGAACACCACATAAAGCCAAAAAATGAAGATCCGGATCCTGTGTCCAAAGAGTGTATCTGTCAGTATCACAGCCAATGCGTGTCACTTGACGCTAAGCTGATCTTAAAACAAAGGTCATGACAAACTGATACTTGAAGGAAATTGAAGATTTAACAGGTGGGTTAAAGAAATTATAAGAAAAGACAGCACTCAATTTTTAAAGTTTTGTGGTAATAAAGTATCTGCTGATCACAAACCTGCACAGAAAAGTTTGCCAAGTTTGCTGACGAAAATCTGACAACAGAGTACGTCTGTAAGTAACACCGAGGACACATCACCATGTCGGCATTACTGACCCAGAAACACAGTGACTACAGCTGACGAGCAGCCCCTACTGGAATCAGAGATGCTAGGGACTGAATAACTATGCCGGCATGTCCCATGACAGGCATGTGAAAAGTGTAAACTTCCTGTGAAAGGCAGAAGCTTGTATCCTTGCTGTTTTAAAGAAGTGAATTTCTTATCAGCCCATTATAATGCGAACAAAAAGGCACAGATCACTAGGGACATCTGTTCTGACTGATCTCCCATTCTGTACCAGTGGCTTCTGCTTACTGCAGAGAAGCTGAACTGGATGACGACTATGATTCTGTTATTCTTCGACAACTTTTTGATCCTCTTCCAGCTGAAATTCTCCTAATGCTTATCACGTACTTTCCTCCACATTTGACTTCATTAATTCAGCCATGTGGCCAAGGAACCTTAAATGAATTCAGCCACGTGGCCAGGGAACCTTAAAAACTGTCTTGAACAGCACGCTAGCAGCAGTGAACAGAGGTGTGAGTGAGGAAGGCTTTCAAAAGAAGTTTAGCATGGGGACCAGCAGTTAGCATAATGGCTATGTTGCTGGACTCCCACGTAGTCGACTGTGGTTTGAGTCCTGGACCCGGTGTCTTAAACTCATGCCAGGCACATGTGCGTGCGTGCGTGCCCAAGATCCTGAGAGGAGAACGGAGGAGAGGGATTGCGGCGTGGCCATGTCCCTTGGGGGGTGATTTCTCGCTTTATGTCTGTCTGTCTGTCTCTGTCTGTCTGGTGAGCGCATGCGCCCTATGGCAAAAACCTCTCCAAAAAAAAAAAAAAGATTTACATGAAGGATGCCATATAAGCTGTTGCCAATGCTTGGAATACAGTGACTAAAAACACAGTTGTGCCTGGCACCTCCAGTCTGTGGCTATGTTCAGTAATGACTATAAAATAAGACAGTGACTCTGAATGATTCCATACATTTAGTGGGGGAAAACAAAGGTCTGGCCTTCTTATGTATGCAAAAAATATACCTTCAGATTCCATCTGATAAAAGTGATTATCAAAAGAAGGATTTTTTTAGTTTATTTATTTGTTCTATGAGTAAGAGACAGATAGATAGCACCTCCAACAGGGTCTGGATGCTGCAATCCAACCCCAGCTTCGCCGGCCCAGATCACGGCCTACTCAGGGAGGTCTCTGGACATGAACTGGCGACTTCTGCACGGTCAGCATTTAGCATCTTACTGCTCACTACCACCTAGCCCCTAGAAGAAGTTTTTTGTTTCTGTGTTTTTTTGAGAGGTTTTTGCTATAGTGCGTGTGCGCCCGCCCACCAGAAAGAGACAGAGATAGAAGGCGAGAAATCTCCCCCCAGGGGGATGGTCACGCCACAATCCCTTCTCCTCCATTCTCCTCTTGGATATTGGACATGCACACACACGCACCCGGCGTGAGTCTAAGCCTCCGGGTCCGGGACTCGAACCACGGTCGACTACATGGGAGTTCAGTGATATAGCCCTTATGCCAACTGCTAGTCCCTAGAAGAAGTTTTTGACAATGATAATAAAGACTTCCATTCACTGACAAATGTTAAAATAGCCAAAATGAATCTACATCAAGGTGACTGAGATGATGTCAGCACTGCACAAGAACCCACAGATGACTTGGTGAAAACTTGGCTCATCATTGGAGGATCAGAACCATGTACATTTCTAACAGAACAAGAAATCACATCGGTTTATAAAATTAAAGGAAATTCTAATACAAAAACTATTGTTAATGAGGCAGATGACTTGAGGAAATACTTTAAAAAGCCATCTTAGGGGGGCTGGCAGGTGGCATGGTGGCTAAAGGTGCTGGATTCCCACATGGCCGACCATGGTTTGAGTCCTGGACCTGGTGGCTTGCTTTCTCTCTCTTTCCCGCAACTTGCTTTCTCACTCTTTTGCTCTCGGTCTGTCCCTCTCTGGTCAAATTGAAATAAAGTTAAAAATAAAATAATTCTTAAAAAATAAAAAAGCCATCTTATTGAAATGCCTCCTCACCCCTAGAGGATGTACTTCCTAGTCTCTCAAATGCCTCTGATGATTTCTCTCACTTAAAAAAAATTAGATTAAGGGTACTGTAAACCTTTAATCAAACATAGCATCATAGAGACTGAAAGCCTGCCACTTTTGCTGCTGCTACTGTCTAACAGCTGACAGAAGTGCCCTGGCAATGCTACTATGCAACTTACTTACCCTGAACACATTCTTTCTTCACTGTACTAGTGGCATACCATAGTTTCCAGTCAAGTACTTATGCATGAATAAGTGCAAGAAAATGACTGCTTATTGGCACCATGTAAGCTGAGTCAGTAATGATGGCGACCCAAACCACCACCGACTGTTCGTGAGTGGCCAAGATAGTGACACATTTGCCTTTTTAGGTATTTGTTGTTTAATTAATTTATTTTTTATTATGCACCTTTACTTTCTGATGGGTCCATGTACACAAACTTTGTTTCATTCACAAAATTATTTAAAATATTGTATAAAATTATTTTCAAGCTATGTATATAAGGTTATACATGAAACCTAAATGAATACTGTGTTAAACTTAGGTTCCATATCCAAGACATCTTATGTATATGAAAATAATCCAAAATCCAAAAAAATCTGAAATTTAAAACAATTCTGGTCCTAAGCATTTCAGATAAGGGATACTCACTCAACTGGTATTTTTATAACATAATGAGACACCGTGAGAATAGGACCAAAGTCTAAACATTATATTAATTTATGCTACATATATACTTTACATACATAGCTCGAAGAATATTTTCAAGTTTATTATTTATTTTTCCTGAAAGAGAAAGAGAGAGAAGGGGTTGGAATACCCTCGACACGTCTTCACACAGCAATCTAGCACAAGCTGCAGCCAGTCAGGATCATAGGCACATGTGTGTGCCTGGCACGTACAGGGAGCCTGTAGAACACGAACCAGGACCTTCTCATGTGGATTTACCAACAGATTCTTACATTACCAGTGATATTTTAGTACAGAATCATTATAATTTAAAAAAAAAAAATAACCTAATAGTAACAAATGCTAGCAAGGCTGTATTAAAAGGAAATCCTCCTGCACTGCTGGTAGGAATGTAAATTAGTACAACTACTGTGGAAAAACATAAGGAAATTCCTCAAAAATTTACAAATAGAACTACTATATTACACAGTAATCTGACTCCTTGGTATTTACCCAAAGGACAGGAAAATACTTGGTTGAAAGACACTTGCATATCCTTGTTTATTGCAGCATTATTCACAATTGCTAAATAATGGAATCAACCTGCTCAAAAACCAATGACTGGGTTAAAAAATGTGGCATATATACATAGTAAAATATTACTCAGTCATAAAGAACAACAAAACTGTCATTCAACACAAAGTGGATGAATCTAGAAGATTTCATGCTAAGTGAAATAAGTCAGTCTATGAAAGACAAACATGGTATGTCCCCGCACAATATATACTCTATGTCTGCACAATATGGTTGAAGTTGAAAGACGTCCATGAGATATTTTCCATGTTGTGTATACAGTGTATA